GCAGCTCCTGGGCTGATGCAGACTGTAAGACCTTGGAATGTGTTTGCAAATTGTGGAACTTGGGTGAGCCCTTACAGCTCACCTGACATTATTTGTTCTTCACAACTTTTAGTTACATTAATTTGTAATGATCAATCAGGTAAAGATTGCTTGTGATCAGGAGTTTTAGTTGATGTAGTTGGTCAATGCATGACATTCTTTTCTGGAATTCTGTTATAACTGATGGCTTTAACATGTACTGTATGGGTGTCTGTTAATAATGCTATTGGCCCTTAAAGGGCCTTGCATCACTCACAAGTAGAGCCTGCTCTCTCAGAAATAAAAAAATGAGTGTGTGTGAGAGAGACAGAGTCAGTGGGGGAGTGAGTATGTGTGTGAGGTGGGTGGAACAGAGTGTGTGTGTGCGCATGTGCGTGTGCGTTTAGTGGGGTGGGGGTCACCTGCATTGCAACATAACCTCAAGATCTCAGTTGAGGCCATCCTCATGGGCAACAAACTTGTCTAGCAGTCTCTGCTCGGCGACTCTGCATTGTTGTGTATCCCGAAGTCTGCCTTGGAGGATGTTTACCCAAAGATCCGAGGCCGAATGTCCTTCACCACTGAAGTGTTTCCCCATGGGAGGGAACATCCCTGCTTAGTGATTGTTACGCAGTGTCCATTCATCCAGGATCATGGATTCCTGTCGCACTACAGATGACTCCACCACACTATACAGTCACACACACTCTCACACAGATCTATGGGGTGAATTTGTATTTGCAGATACATTCTATTTTGTTCAAAAAGCACACAATTTATAGACAGTCATTCAATGTGGCATTTTATAAATTCCTGCTTTAGAAATACAACCAGTCTGACTCCAAACCAAAACACAAACAGATCCTAAACAAAGCCTCACACCTAGCATGCATTGTCTGACCTATAATGTCACCTCTTCTTTACACTGATAAAATCTTTAGTTCTCTCAGGGTAGTAACTTGAAAGGAATTTGGTGATATAAATACTCGTATTAATCAATTGAAACCTTCTAGCTGATTAAAGATTTAACAGCTTCTTAGGTTTGTTAAATACATCCTCATCAGTGATGTGACCCTTTGATCTTTTACTTATAAATTCTGTGTCTGATACCACCTCTCTCACTAACACCTGAAGAAGGAGCAAGGCTCCCAAAGTTAGTGTTTTCAAATAAACCTGTTGGGCTATAACCTGGTGTCGTGTGATTTCTGACTTTGTCCACTCTTATATAGTGAGTTGCCTTCTTCAAAATTATTGTCTTGGCTGCATCCCAGCATGCTGTCTACAATCACTACAACTGACTTCCCCAACTTGCACACCACAGCAATGGTCCCTGAGAACATCCACCACCCCACCCTGACTTCCCTCCTTGAGTTTCTGTAAACAGACCCGCTGGTCTGACCACCACCTGACCAATGTAGAAACACAGCCCCAATTGATGACTTACAACACACTGACTGAGCTCGGTGCAACTCCTCAACTGACCAATCCCCATACTGGGTGAAGTGGGCCTGCGGGACTAACTGTGGCCCAATCCCCAGACTGTAAGGATACACTTGACCCTGATCGTCCTAACTGCCAAACTGACTTTTTCCAAACCCTTGAAATGAGATTGACGCTGCCCTTAAATGACTGTGCTGGGAATCCCAGACTGACAACAGGCCCCCTAGACTCAATTGAGGACAACTCTCTATATACTTTCAGACATGGCTACTTGGTTGAAGCACATGCAGTGAGTTTACCACATAAGCTAATGGCATATGCTATAGACTTGACATTGATGTAACATGGTACAATCTTAACTAGACAGACTGCCCAGTTTTGTGCCTACATTACAAGATAAGGCAAGACAGAAGTACCATCAGGTTGTAAATTCTGAAAGAGGTGGCAATGTACAAAAAGGCAAGGCAGAGATGCTGTGAGCATCCAATTAGACACAAAGTGAGTGATTGCTAAGACAGCAAGTGAAGAGCCTGAAATGTTTCCTGGGCTGATGCACAAGCTGGGTGCCTGTCCTGCTGCACAAAGTGGCCTGGCAACAGCATTGCAATGAAAAATGTCACTGAGCTCCGAGGAGCAGTACTGAAGTACCGAAACATATTATAGGTGCATCTGAAATGTGACATGATGTTGTTGTGAGGTTGGTGTGTGTCTGAAGCCAGCCTCTGTGGATGGGGATATGGGTGCTCTGAGATGTCAGAATGCTGGTCAAAGTAGACGTTTGAAGAGGCAAGTGGTGAGCCGCTGTTGCCAGGTACCTGCTTTAAGTTTCGTGTCAGGATTTGTCACTGTGAAGTTTCACTCCAGTGCCTGGGCAAACAGCAAACTGCATATAAATGAGGTGAGCTTAGGTAACAACGAGATCTCAATGTAAGTAGGCCTTGCACTGGTCACAAGCAAGATTCTTATCTTGTCATTGAAACATTAGGCGCAAAATGGGACTATTATTCTTGACATTGAGAATGTCAATTTCTGATCTCACTGTATGCTACCAACTGACTTGCCACTCGCCATATCATTCAGACCAGGAAAATTCCACCTGTAGTTTTTAAGGAATAACGAGGAGACAAAAAATGCTTGATTCTATCTAACATTCCCAGTCAATTCCTCTGGGATTTTTGTGACTTGCCTGGGATTCAGGCGAGCATAAACAGAAAGTGAGACACTCCACTACAACCTCCACAGCATGACTCCAGGTCAATTACACTGTGGTCAGCAATCTGCCTGAAGCTATTGGAAAGCAGAGGCTATCACTAGCAGGAGCAGAATTTCAGGCTATAGAATGTCTATGCCAACAAAAAAGTTCTCAGGCATGCTTTGCGGGTGTGAAAGTGATGAAGCTCAGCTCAACTTTCACTGCAGAGCCCTGAGCAGCAGTCCTCTTCCTCCTTACCCAATTAAGAATAAAACTTACCTTAAGTACCAGGTTCTAATTCTGGATCCACTTCTCAGACACAGGAAACTTAAAACAGCTTGTCTGATTGAGTCATAGTTAAAATTACTGTGGGGGTCTGATGGCTTATTCAAGCATTGAGTTGCATGATTTAACTAAGTTTCCTACTAACTTCAGCAGGGGTTTCTTTCTTGCCTGTTCAGAAGAACAGGCTCATAGTGAACATGGCAGGATACGAGGGAGATGTTGGCAAAAAGCACCCTCGCTAATTTCAATTATGTGTCTTTCAGACTTCTGCCAGAAATTGAAGGGTTAGAATCACATCATCCAACTTCCTGCAAGAAAGGAATACCTCTTGTCCTACAGCAGGAAACTGGAATGAAAACAGCAGCATCAATATGAGTGATATAATTATTTTGCTTTCTGAACTGAGGCTAGTAGACATGACATTAAAACATTAATGCATTGCATATAATCGTAACATAATTCTGTTGTAGAAACAAAACTTCCTTAAGGGTCTACAAACCCAGGTACATGTATCTAATTAAACCAAAATAACAAACCTGCGTAACACGCAGAAATTATTTCTATTTAAGAAGTAGGGTGCAAATCTTTCATCTAACATTACAATGAAAATGGTACCTGCTAAAGGCTCAACTTTACAGTAAAACCATGTGAATTTTACATGAGCTGAATATAGGTACCAATCTTAAAAGATCAGATGAACCTGCTTCTCTTTCAACTTCTTCAGACCTGAGACAACGAATACTTTACTGAAAAGGTTAATTCAAGCATGAGTAATTTTCAGTAACTGAACAGAAAAGCACATTTTAAATTGTATCATTGTGCATATCAAATCAATTTTTTCTATTGATTGTGAAGCCATATCACTTTGACAAAAGCAGGGAAAATAACGCTCAGATTTAAATGAGAAAGATTATAACCTGATTGTATCTATTTCACTCACATAGCACCTGATGTAATAATGAAGACAACAGCAATACACATTTGCACTCAAGAATAAGCCATGCCCCAAGTCAAACTGTTCCAGTACAGCTAAAATACTGGCACATACTTAACAATGCAGAAAAAATTGCCCAGAACCAACCCAACCCAGCCATTACTATCCTATCAGCCTACCCTTGATAATCAGCAAAATGATGGAAGGGTCTTCAACAGAGCTATTAAGCAGTACTTTCAAAGGAATAACCTGCTCTCCAATACTCAATTTGGGTTCCGCCAGGTCCATTCAGCTCCTGACTTCATGAAAGCTTTGGTCCAAACATGGACAAAAGAACTGAACACGAACAGTGAGCTCAGAGTGAATGCCCTCTTCTTCAGACAACATCAAACTTGAAATGTTAACTCTGCTTACCTCTCTAGAGATGCTACCACACCTGCTGAGTTTCTCCAGCATTTTCTATTTTTATGCCCATATTTACAGCATCTGCAATATTTTGGTTTTAAATAAATCTGGGTATGCAATATGTTAAATATCATTCTCAAAATCTGGAAAGCTGATATATTTCAGTGTAATGTTTATCACATGTGGTGAATTACTTCAAGGTAACTGACTTAGACTCTACATCTCTGTCCATGTTTGCTGTGCAGCTCAGAAAGAGCACTGCAGAGAATAGGCAATATTTTCTGATTTGATTTAGGACCTCCAACGTCAGAAGTATTTTGACTTTTTAATACAAAAAGGTCTTTCCCTTCATGACAAAAATCCTACTTTTCCATTATTAACTTTAATCATGACATCTACTGTTTTTATGGTATTGAACGTATAAAGTAGTTATTCACAATAATAGCTATAATTAAAGGTTATCTAGAATAATAATTCAGAAGATCCCAACTTGTAATTTTGAACAGTTAATTTAAGTCTGCAGTGAAACTACAAGGATATAAAAGGCACTCTTAAAACCTGTGCATTAAATGTAACAGTGCACATTTAAGGCAGCAAATTTACGGTGAACATAGGCATAATATACTGTGACATCATAACCTTTCACTGGCAGAAGTAAAATAATTTGGCAACATTTGGTCAAAAATATTGTAACCGATATTTGATATCAAGTACCAATGCACCTACCTTCATCATTTTGTGCTGTATACTAAGTGCACTGTATCGGTTACTGGAATCTTGCTGTAAAACAGAAATTAAAACTGAGAAACCTACCTTGACATGCTGTTAGCATTTTAATACAAATATTATTGATGAGATTACTATCAAAACTGAACAAAATAATAAAATCAAAAGGGACATAGCAAGTAAAAGTCAAAACAAGGTTTATTTTTAGTGAGTGTCAAATTCATATATTAATTGATATAGTGGTACATTCTCACATTGAACAATGACAAGAGTGGTGTAAATTACTTTGGGCTACTTTGGATCATTGGAATCCAGTGCAAGTAAGAAACTAAATCTAAGTAAAATGATTTGCTGCACTGACATGAAGAGGCAATCTGTAACAAGTTATAGAGGCAAGTTGAAAATGAAATGTAGATTGGAACATGAAGCACCTAACTCAGTAAATTTACAACACATCTATGAATGTCAGGTTTTTTTGAACACATTTATATCTTAAGCCAGTTAGTTCAGATAATTCCACTAGTAAAGAATTTAACATTCTCATTCACTGCTCAACATGGTTCAGCTACATCATGTTCAGATATCAAATAGTGTTATTTTTGATTTGTTAGCCACAAACAGTGATGACAATGGCTCTAACACAACACCGTGAAAGGGAGAGGGAGAACAACTTGGGAACGTCAACAGGCATCATAGGACTGAAAGCCATAAGTTTAATTCCCAGATTAAAACACTTACCTAGATAAGTTCAAAATCCTACTTCTTTACAATTTTGAGATTCATAGACTAAGGGATGACTTGAAGGAGTTTAAAATAATTAGGCAAGTAGACTGTATTTATGTAGATGAACAATCATAGAATCAGAGAATCCTTACAGTGTGGAAGCAGGTCATTCGGTCCATTGAGTCCACACCGAGTCTCTAAAGAGCATCCCACCCAGATCGCACACCCACCCTCCCTGTACCCTATCCCTGTTACTATGCATCTCCCATGGCTAATCCACCTAGCCTAAATATCCCTGGACACTATGGGCAATTTAGCACTGCCAATCAACCTAACCTGCACATCTTTGACCTGGGTTAGAGACAAAAAAAACTGCAGATGCTGGAATCCAAGGTAGACAAACAGGAGGCTGGAAAAACACAGCAAGCCAGGCAGCGACTGGAGGAAAGGAGCAGTCAACGTTTTGGGTATTATCCTTTCTCAGGAAATCATTTTTGGGAAAGTCAATACGCATCATAGCACTGAAAGCCATAAGTTTAATTCCCAGTTTAAAACACTTTACTTCCCCAGATAAGTTCAAAATCCACTTCTATACAATTTTAGGATTCACAAAATAAGGGTTGGCTTGAATGAGTTTAAAATAATGAGGGTAGTAGACTGTATTTATGTAGATAAATCTACTGAACTGAATAGGGTACTGAAGAGGTTAAGGAGGACTGAGGCTTACAACTTTTATCAGTGCCAAATTGGGTTGGATGACAGGTGGTTTCTGATGCATGGAAAAAAAAAAGTGCTTTAAAAAATACAAGAATCTAGAAAATGTTGATAGCAAGAATTGAGAGAGGAAACAAGGACATGGTGGAGCTGTTAAACAATTATTTTGTGTTTGTCTCCACTGTAGAAGACCTAGAAAACTTCTTAAAAAGATTTGTGAAAATCAAAAAGTGAACAAGGTAGGAAATTAAAACAAGCACCATCATTACAGAAAAGGACTGAGTAAACTATTAAATGCAATGCTTCAAGTAACAAGACAAGATGGTGTCCATCCTAGGGTCGAGAGAAAGTGGACACATTCACTGTACAGGCATTGGTTATAATCTTCCAAAATTTCTTAAGTTCTAGAAGAGCTTTAGTGGATTGGAAAATAGCAAATATAAAAACTTTATTCAAGAAGAGACGGAGGCTTCAAGTAGGAAATACAGGCTAATGAGTCTAACATATGTTATAGAGAAATTGCTACATTCCATCATTAAGAAAATAGCAGGATATGTAGAAAATCATAATAGGATCAGGCAGGCTCAACATGATTTTCTAAGAAGGGACTCATGTTTCACTAATTTATTGCAGTTCTTTGAGGTAGGTGCAAGCAAGGTAAGTAAATAGGACCCTGCAGATATGGTGTACTAGGATTTTCAAATGGCATTTGATAAAGGGCCACATTAAAACCACCACAATCCAGCCCTGACTAAAATTCTCTACCACTAACACAATTGCCTTGGATTTTAAACGTTTTTCTCTATCTCTTTCAAGAGATTTTATGGATTTTGGTGGGGTCCAGGAGTGAACACATTGTATGTGCAAAGCTTCACAATTGTGGAGGACAAGCTAGCTGGACTGTAGATACTTTTACTGTCTATCATTCTCTCATGTTCATAGTTGAAATTGGTAAAAACAAATATACCTCACCATTGGCAAAATACAATCTAATACACTTCTCCTTAGTTCAACAAACTAAACATCGTTAAGACTGTATAATCCTTTAAGTAATAACAAGAAAAGTTATACAATTAACCATAGCTAAAGATACCCACTGAAATGTTCATCAAGTGTTCACAGCACATGCCCTTTGGTCCAACAAAAAGAACCCTTAAAAACAATAGGTTGGCATTCCTTAACAACAAATTACTCACTTTTTCTTTGTTTATGGCTTCCTGTGCTTCTAACTTATAAACCAAGTAATCTAAATGGAAGCAAAAAAGGATAGTTAATGTTCAGATTGAATTGAAACAGAAACATTCCAACCATCAGCATTAGTAAATCATCACAAACTAACACAGAATAATGGGTGAAAGATTTGCTTCTTCATTGAAGTCCTGATTCAGTAAGGTAAGGAACCTCCATACCAACAGGGAAAAAAAATGTTGATGATTCAATCGGGATATACATTATCATACAGAATAGTTTTGATATGCCCTATCTTAGTGTCAAGCTTACAGGGTGAGTGGACGATTAGGGCCCTATTCATGAGGTTGCTGATAATATTGACCATGTAACATATGAGACGTAGGAATCCTAATGTGTGCATTGACCAGTGAATGAAGGCTTTCATTCGGTGCTAGTTAAAAATCCATTTACCCATTTCTCAACTAACATGGCAAGGAAGGGGAGCTTGTTAGGTTGCTCAATTTTAATGATAAATTTGAGCGCAGGATGAAGTTTATTAAGCAGTATAAAAAAATTATTTGATGTGGCTGCAGACTGAAATATTGCAAACATGTCATCTACATATCAAAAGTATGCAAGCAGCAGGGAGTTTGTGGTCAAAGATGCACTTCTCATTATAACAAATGAAGATGCCAGCAAGAGCTGGGCGTAAATGAGATCCCACGGCAATGCCATCTACTTGGACATAAACGGTGTCATGAACTGCACAAGTTGCTAAGTTAATGAGTTCAGTGAACACAGATTCAGACACAGGTAGTATACCTAGATTGCAATGATACAGTCATAGTGCAGAAGGGATAGTAGGAACTGCTGATGCTAGAGTCTGAGATAACAAGGTGTAGAGCTGGATGAACACAGCAGGCCAGGCAGTATCAGAGGAGCAGGAAAGCTGACGTTTCGGGT